TGCATTAATCTCAGGGTTGCTGTATTTTCCCTCTGATGATCAAGGAGGAAACATCTCTTGGTTCTTCCCTGACATTACTAAGAAAGGCTGAAGAGTTCAAGGAAATGTTTTGGGTACTAAGAACAATATAATAACCAGAAGAGAGAATGCAAGTATTACAACAGTCTAACTTAGGACTCTTGATCTGCTCTCATATTTTGCAGTTCATATCCTAATCTACCCATTCATTTATCATGAAAAATCTGTTTCTAAATTCAAAGGACTAGTACTGATTTTGCCTTGTGGTCCATCTTATAACCTGCACTAAGGAGCTTCCTTTCGTACATCTTTTTTTTTCTTTTTTCTTTTTTGGTGATACCCGGGATTGAACTCAGGACCTTGTGGTTGCCAGGCAGGTGCAGTACCACTGAGCTACATCCCTGGTCCTCCTTTCATACATCTTGACAGCTGGACCAAGAGAAAGCCTGTTTGCTCGCTTGATTGTGGTATTAGTGTGCTTGGGCTGTCATAACAAAAGACTATAGACTAGGTTATTTAAACAACAGATACGAATTTTCTTATAGTTCTGGAGACTAGAAGTCCAAGATCAAGATGTCAGCAGGGTTGTGTTTTGGTGAGGTGTCCCTTCTTTTTTGTTTGTTTTTTGGTACCAGGGATTGAACTCGGGACCTTGAGCTTGCAAGGCAGGTGCCGGAACCACTGAGCTAAATCCCTGGCCCAAGGTGTCCTTTCTTGACTTGCAGACAGCTGCTTTTTTTCTGTATCCTCACATGGCCTCTCCTCTTTGTGCAGAAGATGGGAGGCGGGGAGCACCTTACCACCTCACTCAACCTTAATACCGCCTTAGTATTTGGGCCCTGTCTCCGTCACATTGCAGATTAGGCTTTATATTAATTGGGGAACAGTGTGATTCAGTCCCCAACAGACACTCTTTCTTTGACCAGAACAATTAACTTTACACTTTAGGTGAGATATCTCACAAAGTGAGATGGCCTTCATTTACTTTTTCATTTAGCACTTACTGAAAACCAACCACATGCCAAACTCCCAGCCAGACACAGGGGCTGTTTTGTACCTGCCATCATAAAGCTCACAGACCAGTAGAGGAGGCAGAGGTAAACAGTTTCCAAGGTGGGGGTGAGTAGGAGGCATGTGTCTGTGTCAGGCAAAGTTTGTTTGAGAAAGTCACATATGTTCTTACAGCAAGTCTGTCGATAAGTATGTCCATAGTTTATTACACATTAGCAGATGAGTCAGATCATCCTTCTTGTCATCTCTGTCATCACCATTCACATGTACAGTAACAAGAAATCAGGGTCTCAGACTCTGACTTGAGCCCTCTTCCATGGGCTTCACTGGGCCATAGTTCTTCAGCTGTAGTTACTCAACCCCTTTCTTGGACATTTGCCTCCCAAGCCTTTTATTGTGTAGTTTCAACCACCAGTGACTTTTGTCTTCATATCTGATTAAAAGCTATTGATTTTTTTTTCCTCAATAAGTTTAGTGGAGGGCCAGGGATTTAGCTCAGTGGTGCTGCCGCGTCCTGAGTTTGATCCCCGGTACTAAAAAAAAAAAGTTTAGTGGAACCTTTAATCTCTTCTGATCTCCTAGCTGTCTGCTAAGACAATTCCTGGTGTTAAGTGAAAGCTGTTCCTGTCAGGGCCTATTGTTTTCCATTAATAAATGATAAGATTGTAAACCAACACTAATATTCTGTTTATGAAATTGCAATTACTGATGAAGCATTTTGTGAAATTCTTACTATAGTGAATTGTACAAGTGATTTGATAAGTTATAGCTCCAGAGAATTCCTCATATAATAAGCCAATATTTCTTTCTCAAGGGGATACAAATAACATTAAATTAAGTTTATCTTAGTTGCCATTCACTTTAAACTGCTCTGGTTTTCCTGCCTGTGTCCTCACACGTTTATGAGAGTACGGATAATTGATTTCACTAACCAGCATGGAGGGAATAGCCTTTTCCTGCCTTAATCTTACTGGTTTTGAAATGAAGAAGTGCTTCTTATGTGCACTATTGCTTTGTTATCCCTTTGAAAACTTCCAACATTTTTACCAAGTGCTTCCTGATTTTTTTTTTTTTTTTGGTACCAGAGATCGAACTCGGGACCTTGCACTTGCGAGGCAGGTGGTAGAACCAGTGAGCTAAATCTCCACCCCAGTTCTTCCTGATTTTAATAGCACATCTTTACTTCATAGCACATTCCACAAAAAAACCTATTCTCACAGATATTCTCTGTGATCCTTTCATTTCTGCAGGTCCTTTCCCTAAGCATTTGTCTATGATGTATTGTTTAAGTGTATTGTTCTTGTGTTGTAAACTTCCCAGACAGATGACCTGCTATGTAAGTTGAGCATACTTTTAATAGCTTTTATAATTTAATAGATGTTTTGCCACCATTAAAGGTGGCAAAAATTTCAAATTTATTAAAGGTAGAAAAAACCCAGAAGGTTAGGGAAAGAAGGGGCTCTTCAGAGAGAGTTTGGGTCAAGTAAAAAGAGAAAATAAAATGAAAATAAAAATAAAAACACCCTACACTGTAGGCTGGGCTATTGTGAAGAGGCACAGTAGCCTAAAAAAAAGTTTTTAAATGTCTCTTTTCTTCCTTGTTTTCCTTCCTTTTACCTTTCTGTTCCAAATTTACTTGTTCTTTCATCCATCTATCATCCTTCCTTCCCTGTAGTATATATTGTATTGATTACTTACTCAGGTATTAGTTTTTGCATAACTTTCATAACTTTCTCTTGACTGTAGCCTGACCTTAACAGATTTTTTGGGGGGTCTCCTTAGTCAGTTTTTCTTTTCCATCCTCACATGAAATATCTTGTAATACTCTGAGAGCTATGAGTTGCAGTGTGTGAGGTTTATTTCTCAGGTAGGTTCTTTCTGATTAGCTTCACAATTTCACCTGTTTTGTAAATAGGCCTATCACAAAGACCATTATTTAGCATACAATTGAATGTATACATGATACAATGAATTGGAATAATTAATCTTTTATTTTTGGAAATAACTTTTTGCAAATTTGATATCAAAGTATTTTTGTGTGTCAGTGTATTTTTCTGTTTACATGCCTGTGAAAAGTCAAGTATATCAACAGAGGATCTTATGCCAATAAAGCTGTAGTAAAAAAAATACTGCAGGCTGTCATATGAATAGGAAATAAATATGATTTTTCCTTTTTTACCCTCCCTTTCTCATTATTACTGTAAGTAACTTCAGAAATAGAGAAATGCAGGGGCCGGGGATTTAGCTCAGTGGTTTCGCCGCCTGCTGCGCAAGTGCAAAATAGAGAAATGCAGAGCCGAGGATGTAGTTCAGTGGCACCATGCACCTGCCTCATAAACACAAGGTCCTGAGTCCAATCCCAGGTACCAAAAAAAATAGAGAAACCCTCAAACAGTGCTGTCAAATAGAAATATAATGTGAGCCATCGATGAAGTTAATTTTTTTTTTTTTTTTTGGTACCGGGGATCGAATTTGGGTCCTTGCACTTGCAAGGCAGGCGGCAGAACCACTGAGCTAAATCCCTGGCCCAATGAAGTTAATTTTAATACCCTATTTTATTTAACCTGATATATCTAAAATACTATTTCAAAATGTAATCAATAGAATTTTCCACTGCTTCAGTTTTTAAATTTAAGTTCATTAAAATTTAAAAAAAATTTTTTTAATATAGTTTCTCAGTCATACTAGCCACATTTTTAGTACTTAGTCACTACATGTAGCCAGAGGCTGCCCTGTTGGATCTCTGAGCACATGGTCTTGTTGCAAGATAACTCTACCTCAAGTAAGTGTACTGCTAATTGAAAACGCAAATTTTCTATTTGGTGATGGTGATTTCTGACTATTTCTCTTTTGGAACACAAATAAAAATTATTTGGCAAACAAAGTTAAGAGACAAGTGTGATTTCTTCTACATTGTGATTTCTTCTACATTGGACAAGGAGAAGGGATGAAGGATGCTGAAGTCTTTTCCAGAATTACAGGGATAAGGTAAAAAGAGTTAGAATTTTAACTCCCCCATACTTCCACACTCACACTTAGTACACTGATGTATTTAACTGGTAATAAGCACCTTTTTTCTCATTTTATTTAAATACCATAATTTTGGCTTTTTTTTTTTTTTGGTACCAGGGATTCAACTTGGGTCCTTGTGCTTGCAGGGCAGGTAGTGGAATCACTGAGCTAAATCCCCGGCCCTGATTTTGGCTTTTATATCTGTTTGTCCCTAAAGCTTTTCAGTTCTTTCAAGATGCAAATAAGGGAACTGTGTTCTCTTTTTCTGGCTATTAATCTGATCTGTTTTCTATAGGCCTACCTTTTTCTCCAGACTCTACCACAGACTTAAGAATTATTAAACAATTGGAAAAAATGAGAAATGATGGCAACTTTGGTTGCCTAGATATATAATTCCTTGGAGCTACTGGGAGTGACTGAAACATTAAGACCCTTACTCAGGGCAATAGAGATGATGATCTAAAGTCTCCAGGAAGGGTTTAACACAGTTTGCCTCTGATGCTGAGGCTTTTTTTACTGGTCCCTGCTGCATTTAACTGGCAAGGATGTTCTTTAGGTGAACAATGAATTCTTTTACTGTTTAATCAGTTAAAAACTGCTGAGTATGTTTAGGGTATTTGGCCTCTACCAAACTGTGTCAGAAAAACTCCTATGAACTGGAGTGGGAAATTGGTGTTTAACTAGACTTTAAAAATCACCTGGGCCGGGGATTTAGCTCAGTGGTTTGGCTGCCTGCTGTGCAAGTGCAAGGACCCGAGTTCAATCCCCAGTACCAAAAAAAAAAAAATCACTTGACAAGCCAGGCTTGGTAGTATATCCCTGTAATCCCAACACTTTCAGAGGCAGAGGCAGGAGGATTGCAAATCCAAGTCCAGCTAGGGCAATTTAGTGAGACTCTGTATCAAAAAAATAAAGAAAAAAAGAAAGGATTACTACTCAGCCATAAAGAACAAGAAACTAGGAAGGTGGCTTGGGAGTGGCCCGGAGGAGCCGGCGGTGGCCCGAGAAGAGAGGGACGGAGCCGGGAGCCATGCCGCGCTGAGGGGGGGCTTCCAGCCACCGCCACCGCCGCCGCCGCCTCCCGGGTGGGTGCCCTTCACGCCCGACGAGGGTTTCATCACCTTAAATGGTTTTGAACCAATGAAGCTGTGTCCCCTTAAAGAGACAGACAACCCATCGTGTGAACCATAGAGTTTGTGGACAGATTAATATTGAGTTCATGGTGGCGTAATGCACGCAGACTCCTGTGAGTTCCCTTAAGTTCTTAGAGGACCGCTTTGCCTTTTGAATCAGAGAGTTGCAAAGTTCGATAAAGAATGGCCCTTCTGGATAAGCACAAAGTCAAGCAACAGCGATTGGACAGAATTTGTGAAGGTATCCGACCCCAGATCATGAACGGCCCCCTGCACCCCCGGCCCCTGGTGGCGCTGCTGGACGGCAGAGACTGCACTGTGGAGATTCCCATTCTGAAGGACCTGGCCACTGTGGCCTTCTGCGACGCGCAGTCCACACAGGAGATCCACGAAAAGGTGTTAAATGAGCCGTGGGTGCTATGATGTACCACACCATCACCCTCACCAGGGAGGATTTGGAGAAGTTCAAAGCCCTGAGAGTGATCGTTCGGATCGGCAGCGGCTATGACAATGTGGACATCAAGGCTGCTGGCGAGCTTGGGATCGCTGTGTGCAACATCCCATCTGCAGCCGTGGAAGAGATGGCCGATTCCACCATCTTCCCCATCCTCAATCTGTACCGGCGGAACACGTGGCGGTACCAGGCACTGCGGGAAGGGACGAGGGTACAGAGCGTGGAACAGATTCGAGAGGTGGCCTCAGGAGCAGCCCGAATCCGTGGAGAGACACTGGGCCTCATCGGCTTTGGTCGCACGGGGCAGGCGGTTGCTGTTCAAGCCAAGGCCTTTGGATTCAGCGTCATATTTTATGACCCCTACTTGCAGGATGGCATAGAGCGATCCCTGGGTGTGCAGAGGGTCTACACCCTACAGGATTTGCTGTATCAGAGTGACTGTGTCTCCTTGCACTGCAATCTCAATGAACATAACCACCACCTCATCAATGACTTTATTATAAAGCAGATGAGGCAAGGGGCATTCCTAGTGTATGCAGCCCGAGGTGGCCTGGTGGATGAGAAAGCCTTAGCCCAGGCCCTCAAAGAGGGCAGGATACGAGGGGCAGCCCTTGATGGGCACGAATCTGAGCCCTTTAGCTTTGCTCAGGGTCCATTGAAAGATGCACCAAATCTCATCTGTACTCCTCACACAGCCTGGTAGAGTGAACAAGCATCCCTGGAGATGAGGGAGGCAGCTGCCACTGAGATCCGCCGAGCAATCACAGGATGAATCACAGAAAGCTTAAGAAACTGTGTCAACAAGGAATTCTTCGTCACATCAGCTTCTTGGTCAGTAATAGACCAGCAAGCAATTCATCCTGAGCTCAATGGTGCCACATACAGGTATCCACCAGGCATTGTAGGTGTGGCCCCGGGAGGACTTCCTGCAGCCATGGAAGGCATTATCCCTGGAGGCATCCCGGTGACTCACAACCTCCCCACAGTGGCACATCCTTCCCAAGCTCCCTCTCCCAACCAACCCACAAAACATGGGGATAATCGAGAGCACCCCAACGAGCAATAGCAGAGAATACTGAAAGGTAATCATTTGGATAAACTTGGGACCAAAAGACAGTGAAAAATGGATGAACTAAGAAAAGTCTTTGACAGTCTTTTTAACTGATCCTGGACATACACATCCTTGATGTTGCAGTGTTAAACCTACAAGAGCTAGAAAACTGAAGATGTCTGCTTGCGGAAGCGCTGAAAGACTAGGACGTGACTTATTAACGACCAACTTCTGTTATTGTATGTTAAGTTTTTCATCTGTGCATCAAATCACAAAGAATAAATAGAGCTTTTTCCTTTATCAGTCCCTTAGACACAACAGGTCCTGAACACCTTGCTCTAGAATGTTGCATCAAGAGTTCCAAACATCAAAATAAAAACATGTTAAGAGGAAATTCCATCTTATGACACTAGTCCCTTTGGTCTACAGGGACTTGTTACCTCTTTTTATTAATAGGAAGATTAAATTACTACAAGATGGGGAGAAAACTGCCTGTTAGACATCTGCACGAATAGGATTGAAGAGCACAGGCTCCTGTACAGAGAGGTGTCTCGCACATCTGAACTGCATACTGAGCACCAAGTTGGTTGTTAGTTCACTAGTACCCTCTAATGATGCAAAAAAGAAAAAATTATTAAGTTTCACAAGCTGTTTGTACTCAAATATATTTTCTCAGTTTCAGATCCTCAGCTATTGAGTAGAAAGTCTTGAACTGTAAGGGTTCAAGAAGAATAATGTTGCATTTCTTTATATCTCAGGAAACACGTTTTATGGTAACTTGTCAGATTGTCTATGAATAAACCCACTTTTTTAGACATTGATAAATTCTTTTCTTCACGTGATATTTTATACAAGAGCACTTCATATGTGTTATTAGATGTGACTGATTTTAACAAATCCTATTAGATTTGTATCAACTAGTTACATGTTCTATTCATAGTCTTTTGTGAATCATTGCCTTTTTGTTTAAAAAGATGGCCTATTTTGAGCCTTTGTATAGGTACATTCCTGTTTTTGTGACGAAAGAAAAACTTTAAACTGTCCAAAACAGAAAAATAATGCCTATCCAGAAGTATGTTTTGTTTTAGTGTGAGTTACCGTTACTATATTTGTTTATTGTAAAGGTGGACATTTAGCGTGCAGTGCAGTTTTCAATAAAAAGTAATTAAAATTAAAAAAAAAAAGAAACTAGAGACATTTATAGCTAAACGGATGCACATTGAGGCCATTCTCTTAAGTGAAATAAATAAGACAATAAGTGAAATAAATACTGAATAGTTTCTCAGGTGTAAGAAACTAAAAGTGTAAATAAGGATCAAAATGTATAATTGATGGGCTGGGGATTTAGCTCAGTGGTGCTGCTGCCTGTCTCACAAGCCCAAGGTCCCAACTTCGATCCCTGGTACCAAAAAAAAAAAGTATAATTGATAATGTGAAATGGGAAGAAAAGTTCTAAAGGGGTAGGGGAAGTGGGAGGAGTAGGGGAAAAGAAAAAAATTTGAGAAAAGGAAAAATATAGAAACAAAGTCTTTGTAAAGAGGGAGGGGTGGAGAGGTTGAAGGGGAGGGCAAGGGAATGGGGAAAAAAAAGAACTAAGATATATCATGTAAAGGTACAGGTTCCCAGTGATGAATGTAACTATTGTATATCTAAAATGTACCAATAAACTTAATGGAAAAAAAAATTTAAAGGAGCTGAGGAGGTAGCTCAGTGTGAAGGCTCTGAAAAAAAATCATTTAACTAAAATAAATCTTGAGAGCTTGTGATCTTTAACTGCCACCAGGCTTCAGTTTAAACCAGGTCCCTCTTGGCTGTCAGTGGTGTCTCCAGCAGTTTCCTGTACAGACCTTTAGGCACCCCTGCCTCTGCTGCCAGGCTTAGTAGAACCCAAAAAGAATATGGACTTTACAGATGCCCAGGCCTACCTCCTCTATGACTTTCCAGCTTTGTCATCTTGTATCAAGGTATATGATGTCTCTGTTTCCATACCTGTAGAATAGAGACAATAGTTTATACTTCACAGTGCCATGATGAGGAGTAAATAAAATGAAAAATAGCAATCTTATAAGATAATCAACAATGTGACACAAGTACCTATTATTATGCTTTTGTAAACTGATAGATCTGAATAAACATTTCTCCAAAGAACCATGAGATAAGGCCATAAAAACTGGGCATGGTGGCTCACTCTTGTAATCTTAGTACTTTGGGAAGCTGAAGCAAGAGGATTTTAAGTTGAAGCCCAGACTAGCCAACTTAGTGAGACCCTGTTTCAAAGTAAAAAAGAGCTGTGGATGTAGCACCCTGCAGAGGCCCTGGATTCAATCCCTAGTACTGTGTCGGGTGGGGAGCACATGAGAACATGGTCAGCATCATTAGAGAAATGCAAATGAGAAACCAGAATGAGAACCTACCTCATACCTACTAGTCTGAGTATAATCAAAGCACATAAGGGCTGAGGATTTAGCTCAGTGGCCCCATGCCTGCTTCACAAGCACAAGGTCTTGAGTTTGATCCCTGGTACTGAAAAAAAAAAAAGCACATAATCAGGTATGTTACATCTGATTTGATATAATAGATAAAAGGAAGTGTTGTTGGGAATATAAAGTGGGCCAGCTGCTTTGGGAAACAGTCTGGTAATTCCTCAAAAAATTTATCAGTTTAACCCTGAGACTTAGCAGTTCCATTCTTAGGTGTATACCTAAGAGAAATAAAAATATATGTCCCCACAAAAACTTCTGTGTGAATGTTCATAGCAGCACAATAGCTAAAAGGTGGAAACAACCCAAATACCATCAGCTGATGAATGGATAAATAAGATGTGATCCATCCCTATGGTAGAATATTATCTGGCAATAAAAGAGAACAAAGGTCTAATACATGGTACCACATGGATGAACCTTGAAAATGTTATGCTGAGTAAAAGCAGCCAGACACATATTGCATGATCTTATTTGTATGAAATGTCCAGAGTAGGCAAATCCATAGAGACAGAAACCAGAATAGTGGTTGTCAGCGGCTGGTAGGGTTGAAGGGGAAAAAGAGTGACTGACTGCTAGCTAATAGTTTCTTTGAGATGATGAAAGTGTTCTAAAATGTATTCTGATGATGGTTGCACAACTCTGAATACACTAAAAATGATTGAGTTGTACATTTCAAGTAGATGCACTAAATGGCATGTGAATTATCTCAACAAAATTACTAAAAAAAAAAAAGGGCCAGGTATGGTGGTCCATGTCTGAAATCTCATGAAGCTGAGGCAAGAGGACTGCTGTGAGTTCCAGGCCAGCTTGGGCTACATAGTGAGTTCAAGGCCTGCCTGAACTACATAGCAAGACTTTCTCTCAAAAAACAGGGCCAGGGATTTAGCTCAGTGCTTCCGCTGCCTGCCTCACAAGCCCAAGGACCCAAGTTTGATCCCAGGTACCAAAAACAAAAACCAAACCCAAAAAACAAAACAAATGGATGGGCAAGAATTCTCAGGAAGTAAATTGTCAGTTAATCTTGGTTTTCTTCTTCTCTGCATTGGTTTTACCCTCTTTCCTTTCCTTAACTATACCCCCTCAAAAAACAGAATAAAACAAAAGCTAAAAACCTTGTTTCAGTATACCAATCTTTAGTTTAGTTGTTTTCCTGACCTACCAATCACATTTAACATTTTTATTATGCAAATTACAGTATCATCTCCTTAAGAGATTTATTCCTTGAGGTTCTCATTGGATAAGCACCTGGAGAGAAAATATTAAGAGGATAAGGTTGAATCAGGGAGCTTCAGTACATCACATGTTCTTTCACTGACTCCTCACGGTAATTCTGGAAGGGTGGTTGCCTACAGAGCTGATAAGTCACAGGTAGGACCTGGGCCTCATTGACTCTAAAGTTCATATGCAAAGCTGTATCTTTAACCATTACATTGGTCTTTTTTGTAATTCCTGTCGTTATTGCTACAGTTGCCTGGTATTCATGTTAAATATTTAGATGTTCTGATGTTCCTCTAATTTTTTTTTCTTGCAGTACTATAAGAAGGAGATGATAATGTATCACTGTGGAATCTTATAGTATAGTCCAAATACTGCCTGTTACAAACACACGCTTTCTTTGACATATTATGTTTGTTTGTTTGTTTGTTTATTAGGTACCAGGCATCAAACTCAGGACCTTGTGCTTGCCAGGCAGGTGCTGTGCCACTGAGCTACATCCCTGGCCCCAAATCTTGAAAATTTGTATAAATTATAGCATTTTACCCTTTATACTTCCCTTCACTCTAAATAAAATTGATATTAGAGTCACATTATTAGTAATCTGGAAGAATCCTGGTATGCTTTTTAGAGGTATGTGTGTGCTACTTCTGAAAGGAAAGTGGTCTGTACAATCCACTTCTCAGCCTTTGGTTCTCTTCCCTAATGGTGTATATACCCAGTACTGACTTTTCTTTTTAACTCCAGACTCACATACCTGAGTGCCTTTTTGACATCTGCATTTGGATATTCAAGCAACCTCACAAACAGCAAAACTAGAGTAGAATTTTTGATTCTCTTTATAACTTTTAATCTCCAGTTGTCCATCTTAATAATTGATGTCATCATCTACCTGGTTGCCTAAGCCAGAAATCTAGGAATTATCCTAGCTTCTTCTCTTTTGTACACCTCACACCTAGCATCAGCAAGAGCTATTGTTTCTTTCTTTTTTTTCTTCTTCTTTTTTTTTTTTTGGTACTGGGGATCGAACTCAGGACCTTGCAGTTTCAAGACAGGTGGTGGAACCACTGAGCTAAATCCCCAGCCCAAGAGCTATTGTTTCTAAGTACCCCGTCTCATGTCCCTTTTGCTGTCCCTGTAGTCTAGGCTAGTCCATCTTTATCTGCATCAGGCATTAGCCCCAAACTGATCTGCTTCCCACTCTTCTTTCTTTCTACTGTTCTCTGCATGGCCCAGAGTCACCTTTTAAAAATGCAAATCTAATTATTTTACTCTCCTCCTTAAAACCTAAATTAAAAAAAAAAAACCCTAAGTAAAACCCAGACTTCTTGTGGCCTACAAGATTCTATTTGGCTTGGCCTCACCTGCCTTTCAGCCTCATCCCCTCACCTTGTTCGCTACATCTCTATCCCATAGCCTGCTTTCTGTTCTGTGCATAAGAGAAGCCCAGTCTCTCTGTAGGACCTTGTACATGTGGTTGCTGGATCCTTTGTTCTTGGAAAGTTGTGTAGTGGTCTCATTCATGTAGTTTAGATCTCAGCTCAGATAGTCCGTTCCTGACTGTGGAATCTAATTAGACATGTGCCACTAGTCACTTTCTTA